CCCCCGCCCCAGGTGTCCCCCCAGAACGCCAACCGCATGGTCGACGGCGCGCGCGGCGTGCTCAACGCTCTGCTGGCGGACGTCTTTGTGTTCACGGACGCGGCCAGCGGCGCCGCCAGCGGCAATTCCCCGGGGTATGGCGCGGTGCTGGTGGCGGAGACGACCAGCGGGGCGCTCATCTCGGCGGAGGCGTGCGCGACGCAGGTGTGGGGCGGCCGCGGGCCTTGGTCGGACGCCTGCGCGGAGGGGCGGGCCGCTGGCCGTTTCGACCTGGCATGCCTTCTGGCTTCTTCTTGGATATACACATCTTGCTTGCTTGCTGTCTAGGCGTCTGTGTCGACTGCCGCGGTTTTTGGAACCAAAGAATGCGTGCAAACTGCGACCGCAGGGCGAGCCCGAGTCGCTGCGCGCCCCGGGGGACGACCCGCTGGTCGTGCCTGAGGACGTGGGGCGCGCAGCCGCGCAGCTGCTGCTGGACGAGGTGTCGCGCGGCGGCGTGGTGGACGGCGGCCACCAGGGGCTGCTGCTGCTGCTGGCCGCGCTGGGGCCCGAGGAGGTCAGCCAGGTGCGCGGGGCAATGGTTGGTGGGTGTAGGGGTGTTGCCGACACACGGTGTGTGGGGGCTGCAATTTGGTTGGTGGTTGATGGTTGGTTTTTGGTGAGTGTTTGTCGGAGGGGCCACGGTGCCGAGGCGGTAAGACAACGGCTGGCCGGGGGTCCCAACATATGGAGCAAGCCGTGGCAAGCGTATAAGAGTGCTTGACGGCATTTCGACGCAGCTATGCTCCTGTCAATCGACACACGTAATACTCTCGTTGCCGTGTGACCTTGGACTGTGAACTTTGCTGTCCCACCTCCACACGCACTCACCCTGCCCTGACGTAAACACCCCCTTCAAAACGCCGCCGCGGCCAACCACACAGGTGCGCCTGGGGCCCCTGACGCCGCACGCCGTGCGCACGCTGCGCCACATCCGCGAGTTTTTCGGCGTCATGTTTGATCTGAAAACAGAGAACACGAGCGGCACCATCATCCTGACGTGCGTCGGGTGCGGCCTGAAGAACCTCAGCCGCAAGATAACGTAAAGGATATCGCGATTGTGGCTGCCCCTGACCTTGGCCCGGGTATGTGTGCCTGTTTTTTCAGCGTTCTTGGTTCTGGGTGCTGTTGATACTGGATTCATCCCCCTTGGCAGCCGCGCTTGTCCCTGCCCTTGCCATTGCCCCTACCCGTCTTTCAAATCCAATGCAGCAGTGCTGCCATGCAGGCTGGTCTTGGGCTCATGCAATACCTTCTCCAATCTTCACAATTGATTGACTTTCACCAACAAAATGTAGTGAGAGTTGGAGATAGTAAACATTTGCCAGCTCAGGTTCTGCAGCCCAGTTTTCAAGATGGTTCTAGCAAAGGGTGCCGTGTGAGTGGGTTGACCCCACTCGCCCGGCAACCCACCCAACTTTCTGTTTCAGAGAAGGCGCGGGCGTTCCAGCGGACCGCAAGCACTGACAAGTTGCAGCAGCAAGTGTGCACAACTTTGGTTATCGCACGCTGCCTGGATTCTGACCAGCTAGCCGCTGTGTCGCATGGGATGGCCGCTGGAGACGTTCATGTCAGGTGCGCCTGCAGCAGGCTCTGTCACCAGGACAAACGAACCTCATGTCACCGGTCACGATGCACGCTCAACTGCTGTTGTGTCTTGGGCAATGCAAGGGTGGATGCCATTGCTAAGACTGGATTGCTCATACCTGCAAATTATTTTTTAAAAAAAGGAAAAAGGAGGCGGCAATTGGTGTGAGACAGTGCACTAGTATTTTAAGTCGGCATTGGCGGGGGCGCACAGGGAACTTGAGGCCGTGCACTCACCTGCCTACGCCTGTAAACATGCTGCAGCCATGCACAAAGAACTGCAGGTCTTTCCTGGCTCGGCCTGCATACTAGGTGTGTGTCTCCCATTACAACAGGGTGCTGTGCACTTTTGCTGTGCAGTTGTGATCTGTCGCTGTGGTCAACCGCAGCGGGTCTTCAGTGGGTTTGGCCAGACGTCTACTGACCACTTCCACACAACACCAGGGTCCAACCCTAATAAGGGAACACTAGCCAATCCCATTGAGAGCATGCAACTCTGGCTGATTACAGACGTGTTTGGGGTACTACAGTGTTGACCCCGTCAGGCAGGCGTGCAGATCATTGCACCATGCAGTTGTCAGTAACCTGTTGAGGAGTACCATGCCAGCGATTTTCACATGTCTCACAAAAATGGGCTCTGAATCAAAGTCGATGCGACACACGTTGCTGTACAAAACACAACATTTAAGCGCCACCCTCGGCGTAGTTGCCCTGGTCGTCACCCTGCAACAGCATCAAGAGGAGGGTGAGCAGAGGCAGGTATTTGTAAAATTGGTGAGGCGAGCAGGGCGGGTCAGAAAAAATTCATCCACATATGCACTGCACAACGTTGCTAAGTTCAGCACAGCGTGGCGGCGCGCAACACAAATCTGTTCAAGGCAAGCCGTCACACGCCAGCAGAGTAGTAGCGCAGCTGCAAGGACCGGAAACACCCCGCGCCGCATGCTGGTCTGCCAGTCCGTGACTGCAGTGCAGCCACAAGGGCACCGTCACAGCCCCCAGCTGGCGGCCCTCTCACGTGCTGGCGCTCGCTCTTCCGGCTGGTGTCCTTGTACTCCTCCTGCGCCTTCTCGGCCGCCTCCTTGCTGCCAAACTGCGCGCATGGCGGGCGGCATGGCAAGGCAGAAAAAACAATCAGTGGAGGAGCTGGATCACGCATGCACCATGGTGTGGCAAAAATTCAGATGCACAGCCGCAAGGCAGGGCAGATGCAGTGGGGGCAGGGACTGTTGGTGAGTCCTTTTGAGTGCCCAGCGGTATGGGGTCGCTGCTGAACTACCTAAAACACGCTGGACTTATTCAGAATCAAAATGGCATTTTTTGGTCAGGCAATAAACAATCCTCCTGCACACTCAATATGGCAGTGCCTTGTGTGCACACTCAATCCCTCCTTCCCGTTTGACCCCTTTTCGCAGGACTCACCCGCTCCTCAGGGGTCTTGGGGCTGCCGCCTAGCTGGTAAGCCTGCCCTGCGATTGCGCGGTCCCCCTCGGGCGCACCCCTGCAAATTCAGATGGACAGGTGAACAGCACACATGTCAACGCACACTCACGGTCGCGCATGCTTGTGACACATTCCTCACTAGAGCACACTCACAGACGCAGATGCAACATGTCCCACTCTTCGCTGGCAGGCAGGACGCACGTGCACACGCAGGTGTGCGCCGCACGCATGTATGCTACCACGGGGCTCACCCGGCCTCCATGTTGCTGGCCTTCTTGGTCTCTGACTCAACGCCGGCGCCGGTGCGAGGCATCTCAAACTCCTTCTTATCGGGGGTGAAATCAGCACCGCTCTTCTCGCTCTTCTCCTCGGGCGCCACCCTGCGCAGCACGACGCGCGCCGGGCAGGCGGCGCGGCCGAGCGGCGCGAAGGCCCGCGGCGCGCGGGGCGCGGCCGTGGGGGTTGCGACGCGGGTGCTGAGCATGGTGGATTGGTGGTGGAACACTGGATGGATTGACAGTTTGGGCAGGATTAGTAGGCTGGAAACAAGCAATGCAGGGGTGAATATTGGCTAAAAGGGGTTGCATGGAGCAGCTCAGCAGGCGGTCCAATGGACAGCAATCGTGACACACCAAGAAGCTGTGAGGCGCAGGGTCAGCGGGAGCAGCCAGAACACGTAACGCAGCGCATGAATCGTACTCTATCATACTTTCCAGTCATTTTAGACATGGAGATCAGCGGTTCAAGTGACGGGGATTGCTCACTGCGGATCTGAAGCAAATTTGAATGCACACGCGATCACCCCAGAACGGACAACAGAAAACCACGCAAAATATTACGATACATTTGTTGGGGCCGTGCCCAGCAGCGGCGCAACCGGCGTGAAATATACAGCTCAGCCCAATGTGCAATTGGCGCCTACATCACTCTGACAAACACCAGTGCAGCAGGGTAAGTGCTAATATCAGATTTCATCTTCCAGATTTCGTTATCATCCATTTCAGGACTGCGCCCACAGCTGCCGCGCGCCCACGTACTTGCTTCATACACGGCTGCCGCGCAGCGCGGCATCCGTGTTGCGGTGACACTAGCGCGGCCCACGCTAGTGGCACCGCTCGAGTCAGCTGGCTGCCGTGTCGGATGACCTGTACAATCCGTGACGCAGTGCTTGCGTTACAAATCACGCCACAGCTCACAGACCCAGCAGTGCAACCAGCCACCAGCTTGCCGGTCTTCCCCAGCCTCAGCTTCATGCGAGGTCGTCCTGCAACAGCAGGGCCACGCTGGCCAGCACCCACTTGTGGGCACCCTCCGCCGCACTGCGCAGCGTGAAGGTGCTCACGCAGGGGCTGTAGACGTTGGCGCGCTGCATGTTGGTGTAGACGGGGCACTGGTAGTAGCCCGCCAGGTCATGCTGGTCTGCAGTCACAGGGCGCACCTGGAGAGAGCAGGGCGGGGTGTTGCGGTGTGGTATGGGGTGCGGTGGGGTGGGGTGGGGTGGGGTAGGAGGGGATGGCGTACGGATGGCACGACAGGCGTGCCGTCAGGCGGAGGCTGCAGCAGCGTGATGGTTGAGGGTTTGTTGCACGTGGCCGCCGAACAAGCCGCCGCCGCCGCCGTCGCGCAGCAGCAGCGGCGACGGCGGCAGCGGCAATCGCACAAGCATCCCTTCGACCTGCACAGCCCGCCGGCACCTAGGTGAAGCCGCCGGCCAACAACCCTGTGCCCCACCGACCCCTTCTCCTCCAAGCATCCCGCCACCCCCACCCACCTGGATGACTGGCATTTGTTGGTGCAGCTCCCCGGGGGCGGAGTCCTTGAGGCGCCCCTCCTCGCGATCCCAGCGCGCCCCCTCCAGCACCAGCCCATGGACGTAGCAGCCCAGGGGCGCCGGCTCCGTCACCTGGGGACGCGCATGTGGGCCAGACGGTGGGGTTTATCGTCCCTGGCGCACGCACGCCAGCCGGGGCGTGTGTCGACCCAGCGGGCTGCGCGTAACACTCATCACTCACGATCCGCTCAGGGCGTGACCAGCAACATGCACCATTTCCTTCAATAGCACCTCAACTAACACCGACCTGGTCCACGGTCTTGGTGGTGACGTCTGTGACGAAGCGCATGACGTCCAGCGGCAGCTTGTTGGCGCGCGCGTACGTCTGCATCACCGCCGTCAGGAAGGCCTTGGGGTTGAACAGCCCCGACAGCCACACGCTGTTGGGCACCACAACAGTGCCGGCCGTCCAGGCGGCCAGCTGGTCGTAGCGCTTGAGCACGTCCGCATACCACGCCGCCAGGGACAGCACCTTGGTTTGGAAGGGAGGGGACGCGCGTGCACGCAGAGTGGATTGGTTGCGCCAGGGGCGTGAGCGCGCGTGCAGTTGGCTGCAAGAGGGACAGGCAGGGCTCGCAAATATGCGTTGAACGCTCAGAAATGGCAACCAACTGCCAAAGAATCGCCTTGAAACAGACATGTCCTTAACGTTCCCTGTCCGCCGGCGCGCAAGGCGGCGACCACGCCTGCGATCGACTCTAGTGCAGCGCACCTCCTGAACGCGTGTGCTCATGCAGGCCATCCAGGCGTCTGGCACGCTGTTGGTGGCGATGCCGCGCGCGAGGGCCTCCATGCGGTCGCTCATGTTGAGGGCGCCGTCCAGGCCCAGCTGCAGCTCCTCCATGCCACGCCGCATCTCCTCCAGCAGAGCGTTCATGCGCGTGGCCTTTGGGGGTGGAGTTGCAAAGGGGCGGCAGGCGGCAAGGGGGGGGGGGGCGCAGGTAAACGGCTGCGGCGGCGCGTGGGCTTATATGATTCAGGGGTAGCAAGAAGACCGGGCAGGAAAGACAACAAGGGGCCTCAATAGCAAGCCTGCGCGCAGCAGCGGGAGGCAGGAGACCCAGGTTCCCCTCCAGGTCGCAGATCCGCACATGCAGAGGCAGTCAATATGCAGGCAGAGGAACTCCAGGCCTGACGCGGCCCCAACCCCGCTGCAAGCGTCAGCCCCAGCCCCAACACTGCGAGCGCACCTCCTGCAGGGCCACCACCACGTAGGGGCTCTTCTCCTTGATGCGCCCCTCGATCTCCACCATCACAAACGGCGCCGGCAGGCGCTCACTGTAGTCCTTCAGCGCCGCACGCACCGCCGCCTCGCCGGACGACGCGCCGCCGCTCGAGCCTGGGGTTTTGTGAAGCATGATTCCAAATGAGGCCATCAAGGGGGGCGAGGCAGGAAAAGTCTGTGACTGGCCGCAGAACCCCGATGTGGCTTCACGTCATGCCCAAACATTACTGCAAACACAGGAAAATTCGGGCCAAAAGGCTGGGCGTTGCCTCGGTTGCGCTGGTTTGGCCCTCCCCTCGGCGCCCACCTCCGCTGCCGCCGCTGACGTCCGCCACCGTCCTGAACAGCGTCTCCCCCAGGCTGGTGAGCAGGCTGAGCTCGGCGTTGGGGTGCATGCCGTACACCACGGGGCTCTCCGCGGGCAGCGCCCTCTCGATGTGGTCGCGCAGCGCCTCAAAGCCGGTGGGCAGCGGCGCGCGGAAACCGGGGGCGAGCTCGAGGGCGGGGGGCTGGCAGGCCGCAGGGTCGGACAGGTCGCCGATGGGCAGGATCTCGGGCCGGATGAGGACCTGGTGGGGTCGTGCCGCGCGTGCGTGCGTGTGTGTGTGTGTGTGTGTGTGTGTGTGTGTGTGTGTGTGTGTGTGTGTGTGTGAATGTGGGACGGCGATGACGAGCTGGGCCAAGCTGTTAAATGCAAAGGCTCGGGTTGTCAATGCATGCTTGCCCGTCGACTCGTCCGAAAAGCGTCGAGGTGCACACAACAGGCAGCAGGATCGCGGGCCAGGGCAGTAAGGCACACCTGCAGGTACGTGGTGCAGCAGCGCCGGTCCATGTTGTCTGTAATGTGGCCACCATAGAACACCTGCGGAGCGCATTGTGCAATTTGAGGCATATAACAAGGTGGGGTGATTATTAAGTGTCGCGCCCAACAAATTGAAATGTCCAGCAGCAGCTACACAGCTGCACGTTCTCACGTTCCCTGCTGCACACTCCTCTTTACAGTCATCCGGCACCATCCAGCACCTCTCGCTACCCACCTCCCCAAACATGTAGCGCAGGTCGTCCCAGGGGATGGCGTCGTAGGCCTCCAGGTAGTTGATGAGGACGTCACCACACGTCACCAGGTCACCCATGTTGAACGAGTAGCCGCGGCAGAAGCCCAGACCGCTGCCAGAGCCTGAAGCGGATAGGTGGGGGGGAGGCAGCGACGCGTTGCTAATCAGAGCTGAGTGATGGTTTTGTTGTTGCAGTGGGGTCGCCCCGGAAGCTCCAACCCGATGCCTCGTTCCAACACGTTCCCAGTGCTGGTAGATGTCCCCTTCCGCCAGCCCAGCACCCCCCACAGCCTCCCCATCAGCCTCGCAGCAGCCCACCCGTCCCGATGCCGACGCCAAACTTCTTGCGGCCGAGCAGCAGGGAGTGGTAGAAGCAGAGCCCGAACAGGATGGACCTGAACGCAGTGCGCTTGGGCGCGGAGCTGAGGCGGCCCTCCAGGTCTGGGCTGAAGGCGGCGAGGGCGCGGCGCATGTTGGAGCTCATGTCGCTGGGGGGCTCGTTGGAGATCTTGATGCAGTTCTGCAGGATGGACTCGGGGATGATCTTGGCCTGGGGGCAAGGCGGTGTGTGTTTGTGTGTGTTTGTGTGTGTGTGTGTGCATGTGTGCATGTGTGCATGTGTGTGTGGGGGGGCTTGCGCACACATGTGCATGTGCATGTGTGTGTGTGTGTGTGTGTGTGTGTGTGTGTGTGTCTGTGTGGAACTGTAGATAGCAGAGACACAGGGTTGCACAACAGGGTGGGTTGTACAGAGGCCAGGTCACAGGATGGGGTTGACGTCGAGCCATAATCAACATCAAGCCGCCGAGGCTGTGCAAAAGCCGCCTGCGATGCATGCACGCCCACGCAGACCCAACCCACGCGTTGGGCGCCGTCCTTACCACCCAGCCCCCCGCCCTCACCTGTGGCGCGCCGTTGATGGGCTCTGCGCTGAAGAAGCACCTGAACCCGGGGTGCGCGCTCTCTGCTGCCGCCTCCAGCTTGCGCTCCAGCCGCGGAATCCAGCCCTGCGGTTGGCGCAGGCCCGCCAACGTGTTGTGTCAGAGAGGGCGTGCTGCGGGACCGCTGTGTAGGGCGCGCAGACCTGGCGGTGTGGGTGACCATGAGGCCACAGTGCACTTGACGCCAACCCCCTCCCCCCACCCAGCGCCCTGTTTTACCGACGCACAGCCATCCCGCTCAGCGGCCAGTTGTGTTGCATGTTTTGCGTGCGCTTGATTTTCCCACCTCATCCGCCCCGCGCCCCACCTGCATGAGGTGCACGTTGTCCAGGAACACCCAGCCACCCTCCTTGATGTACCTGCAACAGAGATGGTTTGTGCCGCAAACATCAGTACATCAAGCGTAAATAACATCAGGTACTTGGGCGCCAAAAAAGGTGCCGGATACATGTATCAAGCACGCAGTGTGTGCAGCGCCGCCACCCAGCCAGGCGGAGGCCGCCCCCGCACCTGTCCAGCACGGCCTCCGCGGGGCCCTCCTGGCCCTGGCCCATGCTGATGAGCGTGAGGCTGCCGGCCTCGGGGGAGCGGCCCACGCTGCGCGCGTAGGCCTCGATCTCCTTGGAGGGGGAGTAGCCCGGGAACAGGATGAAGA